ATATTTAATTGTAAGGTCTTAGACACATTCCCATGAAGTCAGAAACAAAGTCAGAATGTCCATAAGCCTGCCATGTCCTTTATTATCTAACATAGCTCTGGAAGTTCTCATCCGTGCAATAAAACAGTTAACACAAATAAGAGCTATAATCTTTGGAAAGGGGGATAAATTTGTCATCGTTTGCAGATATCCTAGCCCTGGGAAACCACAGAGAATGAAAATGCTTTAAAATCAATAACACGCAATATCCAATGTCTACAGAAATATATATTTTTTTCAACAGCTAATTAAGACATAAAATGAAAACATATGTGTTCACAATACCTAAACAAACATGCCGCCCAAATTGAAACTGTCGGCCTGTGCCTAGCTAAATTCAACCTGGCTTTCAGGTCTTAGGGACCCGAGATGTAGTGACTGCTCCACCTGCTGGCTGGGAGGGGCCTTGCAGGCTCCAGCGCTGGGAGCATGGGCGGACTTCCCTCTTTGTTCCTCTTACCCAGGGTGATCTACAGGGATGGTTCTGGTTTGGGTTTCTGGGGCTGGAAAATTTTGTTGGTCTGTTTGTTCCTTCACCATTTAGCTTCTGTTGTTGCCCCTCTCCTTAGAAAGATTTGCATAATGGACAACAAGAGATTCTACTGATTAGAGAGGCAGAATGAATGAGGAATAAACACCAACAATAACAACAACATTGTCCTTGCATAAAAAAATGAAACTCAACTTCTTATTGATGTCCTTCAAAAAGGAAAAAAAAGAAAAAAGGCCAGATGTGGTGGCTCAGCCCTGTAATCCTAGCACTTTGGGAAGCAGAGGTGGGAGGATCGCTTGAGGTCAGGAGTTTGAGATCAGCCTGAGCAAAAGTGAGACCCTGTCTCTACTAAAAATGAAAAAAAAATTAGCCGGGCATGGTGGTGTGCACCTGTAGTCCCAGCTACTCGGGAGGCTGAGGCAGGAGGATCGCTTGAGCCCAGGAGTTTGAAGTTGCTGTGAGCTAGACTGATGCAACGGCACTCTAGTCTAGGTGACAGAGCAAGACTCTGTCTCAAAAATAAAATAAAATTTAAAAAATTTAAAAAATGAATAAAAAGGAAAAAAAAATTTAAGAGTATGCTGAAAAGGTTCAGACAAGTTACAGTGCACCCAAGAGAGACTGGGCAGGGACAGTGCCAGGACAGTTCCCACTCCCAGAGAGGGGACAACTAGGGTGACACAGATAGGGTGCCTGCTTTCTACAGAATTATGGGACAGGCCCTGGGAGGTGGAAAGAGACATAAACAAAAAAGAAGACTTGATTATCTGGGGTTATCAGGGTGGGGTCAAAGCATCTAAGTCCTACTTGTGGGGACAGGAACACATAGAAAAGAACAAGTAACAAAGGGAATTAACACAGAGAAATGAAAGCAAAGCCTATCAACGTTTAGATCTGGGGAAATAAAATGTTTAGGATCAGATGGACTTAATCAGAGAAACATCCCAGAGAGAGGTGATTTGTGAGCTTAGTGCAGGAAGAAGGGTAGAAAATCCACTGATGAAAGAAAAGGCAGAAAGAACAGGGACAGGCCTGGCAAGTGCTGTTGTCTCTGCCTTTCACACCTCTAATCCTAGCACTCTGGGAGGCCGAAGCACGAGGATGGCTTAAGGTCAGGAGTTCGAGACCAGCCTGAGCAAGAGCAAAACCCCGTTTCTACAAAAAATAGAAAAATTAGCCGGGTGTTGTGGCACACATCTATAGTCCCAGCTACTCGGGAGGCTGAGACAGGAGGATCACTTGAGCCCAGGAGTTTGAGGTTGCTGTGAGCTAGGCTGACGCCATGGCACTCTAGCCCGGGCGACACAGTAAGACTCTGGCTCGAAATAAATAAGTAAATAAAAGAGTAGAGTTGAAAATGTGACTCCACCAAGTGACTTACAGAGTTTTTGAACTTCAGTGACCCCTCAGATGCCCTAATATGTAAGAACGAAGGCTGATTTCACCTCCGAAGGAGTTTGAGCTGATAAGCTGATGACTAGAGCCAGCTAACAATTTGAGATAATCCTTAAAGTCATTGCAAGCCATGTTGCTAGAGATAAAATGGCCTTTTGTTCGTGATATTTCTGTGAGCTCAGAAGGTCAACTGTCTAAAATCCGTACGAATAGTCACCTGTGTGAGTAATCACCCTTTGAGGAACATAGTGTCCAGTTCAACGAAGTCACATTCTCCCATGTTGTATGTCATTGGCACCTCCAGGGGACAGTCATGCTGCTCCAGGCGGGGTTCCT